TGTTGCCCTGTTGCCGTGCCTCCTGGCCTCCTCTCTGCTGGTTAATAATAGACGCCGTCGGAGCTCCTCTGGGACTGAAGCTGAGGATTAATTTTAGTTTTCCTCTGAAGCGTCGCAGATCAACCAGATTTAAACGAGACGCTTTACAGAAGAGACGCTGCTGTCAATCAACACCTTCATCAGCTCCAGAGGAACCCAGAACACCGCTCTCAGGAGAAACACAGAAGTTCTGATGGGAAGTGGACCTCAGACAGTCACTGACCCGGATCCACCAGGAACCAGATGAGAGAACAATCAGAACCGGACAGAACCGGTCCGATCATAAAGCTCATCCTGCAGGGACCCAGAATTATGATCCAACATCAGGACCAGACGGACCTCCAGAACCGGTCCAGTCCAGGTGTGCTGACCTGTGGACGGCGGTGATGAACTCTGTAGTGCGTCAGTGCAGGTGAGCTGATCACATGATCGGGCCGTCATGTTTCCATGGCGACTCCGAACCTGTCGGAAACGTTTCTGAATCTTTTTCATTATTTTGGTGTTTTTCATGTGATGAAGCTGAAAACTGCTGAACTCTGAGACACAAACAGTTCAAAGATGGAGACTGCCTCAGGCGACAACCTGCTGATGCACACACACACACACACACACACACACACACACACACCATGGGACAGCTCTGTGTGATCAGATTGTGTTTCGGTGGTGAAGCTTCACTGCAGCCGCAGATCAAGATTGCAGATTTCTGATGTTGTATTTATGGCGTGTTTATGGCGTGTTTATGGCGTGTTTATGGTGTATTTCAAAGCTTCTGTGAAGTTGCTTCACACAGACTCATTGATCTCTTTAACATCAATAGTTTACTGACAACAGAAACACAAAACCTCCACAAAAAGACACAAAAAAAGAAAATATGTGTCTTTTTTCCAAAACAATCCAAGAACATTGAGGATAAAATGGAGGCTTCACGCTGTCCAGGTGAGTCCAGGTGAGTCCAGGTGAGTCCAGGTGAGTCAGTTGGCTGTCAGTTTGCTCTCCACAGCCTCAAACACAGAGTGAGGATCTTGATCAGCATCTATATGAACGGCATCTGGATACACAGACTGAACACACACACACACACACACACACACACACACACACATACATTAATTTGCTTGTTTTTTTTTGTTTTAGCATCCTCCTGCCACAGCTTTACCATGAACTCAGACTGTTTGACTGCGTCAGTGTATCAGGTGTGTTCAGGTGTGTTCAGGTGTGTCAGGTGTGTCCAGGTGTGTCCAGGTGTATCAGGTGTGTTCAAGTGTTTCAGGTGTATCAGGTGTGTTCAGGTGTGTCCAGGTATGTTCAGGTGTGTTCAGGTGTATCAGGTGTATCAGGTGTGTTCAGGTGTGTTCAGGTGTGTCCAGGTGTATCAGGTGTGTCCAGGTGTGTTCAGGTGTGTCCAGGTGTATCAGGTGTGTTCAAGTGTTTCAGGTGTATCAGGTGTGTCCAGGTGTGTTCAGGTGTATCAGGTGTGTTCAGGTGTATCAGGTGTTCAGGTGTATCAGGTGTGTTCAGGTGTGTTCAGGTGTATCAGATGTGTTCAGGTGTGTCCAGGTGTGTCAGGTGTACCAGGTGTGTTCAGGTGTGTTCAGGTGTGTCCAGGTGTATCAGGTGTGTCCAGGTGTGTTCAGGTGTGTTCAGGTGTGTCCAGGTGTATCAGGTG